ACAAAGTGCAATAAAATGAGATATACCTGTATCTAACGTTGTAAGTGGTGTAATAAAGAGAAATAAAATGGGATGGATTTGAGCAGTGTTCCTGAAACTTCTTCTTAAAAGTTCTAACAATCTGCCTCTTTGGTCATTTGTTTCTTTCTCCATTAAGATATGTGGCCATTATCCACAGCTGGGCAGCATAGCACAGATGGCTGCCTTTTAAAATATCAGTATTGGGCTGGCTGGTTAGAGTGCTGTGTTATAACGCCAAGATCAAGGGTTCAGATCCCCATCCGGCCAGCCACAAAAAAAAAAAAAAAAAAAAAAAAGGTAAGAAAACACCACGGTTAATGTGCTCAAGTAGAAGGAATCTTCTTTCAAGTATTTCTCCTGTTCCATAAGAATCTGCTTCTTCATTGTTTCTATCAGTGTCCTTGACTAACCAGAATTCAAAACAATATAATTTTTGCATCTGTATCTGCCACAAGTACCTCCATCTCAGTTTACACCCACTCTTTCATCTCTAGTCATCTAAATTTGATCCTTAGGAGCAAACGCAAGCTAATCCTCATCACTTCACGAAAGTCAACATAAAGGAGGAAAGAAAAAATAGAAAGTATCCAGGGCACTCCCAGGTAAAGATGGTAAACTACACAGCCGTCGTTTAACCTATGCTGACTTCTAGACACCCCACCAAAACAGTAAAGCTGTTTTTCTCTTTTTTTTTTTTAAGCATAAATCCATGAGGCCAAAGATAATAAGAAGGGAGACAATAGCAACAAAACTTCAGAAGCTGGAAAGCAGATGGGTGAGTGGTAATTAATTTAGCAGACCTGAAAAGGCTGAACCTTAAATAAGAAGTAAGAAAAACCAAGAAGCAATCCAATTTTTTCCATAGAACCCCACCCACAAAAGGCACAGGAATTTTATACCAGGTACTACTGAAAATAAAGGTAAAGAAGGAACTAAATACAAAAGGACTAGGTGAAAACCTATCTATGAAGCAATTTGATTCCTAAATTCTCAACACCACTCCAAAACCTCCCCCACTGCAAAAGATCTGAAATGTATTTTCTTTTTTTTTTTTTCCTTTTTGTCTTTTTTACTGACCGGTAACGGGATCACAACCCTCAGTGTCACGCCCGTACCAGGGACCGGCAACGGGATCGCAACCCTCGGTGTTGCACCTGCACCGCGCTCAGCCAGTGAGCGGGAACCGGTCTCCACATGGGATCCGAACCTTCGGCGGGAGCGCCGCCACACTCCCAAGTGGCGCACTCTCCAGGCCGGCCCTGAAATGTATTTTCTGAAGGGAGTGAAGCAGTTGAGGGCATGGGTATCACACTGAAAACTGGGGGAGTAAGTAGGAGTTTACAGTGAGTACTGAGACCATCCTTTCTCACCCAGCCTTTTTCTCTCACTCAGATCCCAGAACAATTACAGGCCTATACTCTCCAGCAAGAGATTGGAAGTGCTTCTCTAGGGTACTTAAGAGGAAAAACCTAAATATACTGATATTAGAGATAACCCCAAAGAAATAAAATACACTGATATTGTGTAACAAAGAATTTAGCTGGTCTTCATCTCCAGTTCCTAGAGGTAGCCACTAAATGCTTGGAATTTCCTGAGTGATGAATGTCTTTGTTACTTAGGTGGGCCCCTGGGACCACACCTGTTAGATTATATTAATGAGGTTGCCTCAGAATGGGCCCCTAGCTAACTCATGCTAATAAGATGACTCAAGATGGGGGCTGACCATGCCAGAAAGACCAACCATGTGATCAAAGTATTGGGAATTTCCAGCTGACCTCCAGGGAAGGAAGAGAGGCTGAAGATTGAGTTTGACCACATGGCTAATGAACCAATAAATCATGCCTACATAATGAAACCTCAATAAAAACTCTGTACACTGAAGTTTGGGTGAGCTTCCCTATTTGGCAATATTTTGTATTATTATCACACTTTGACGTGCCTCAGTGTGCCAAGAGGGTAATGTCCTGACTCCATGAGGAGAGGACAATGAAAACTGCATTTGGAACCTTCCCAGACCTTGCCCTATATGTGTCTCCCTTTGGCTATAATAAAACTGTAAAAGTATGCTTTCGGTGAGTTCTGTGAGTGATTCTAGCAAATTACTGAACATGGGGTGAGGGAAGTGTGAAACCCCAAATTTAGAGGCAGCTGGTCAAAATTGAGGATAGCTTGGGAATGCCCAAACTAGTGGCTTGTGTCTGAATTAAGGGCAGTCTTGTAGAGGACAATGGCCTTAACCTGTGGAGTTTGGCCAAGTCCAGGTAGTTGGTATGAGAAGTCACTGCATATATTAATGATATACCCAAGGAAATGTCTCAGCCAGATCATCCTATAATGAAGACCACCCAACAACTCAGTACCTCCCATCAACCTTTCAGTGTTCCACTCTTAAACATGGGCTAAAGGCTAAGGATCTCCAGACATATTTGGAAAAAACATAAAAACCTTCAGAAAAGCTACCATCGATAACCTCAAAGACAAAACAAAAAAGAGTGCCTAGAAATTAAAAAATATGAGAGACAAAATGAAAAACTCCATAAAGTGCTGGAAAATAAAGCTGAAGAAATCTCTCAAAAAATAAAGCAAAAACACAGAGAAATAGAAAATACAGTAAATAAGGAAAAATTAGAAGACAAGTTCAGGGGACCCAAATGCTGAATAACAGAATTCCAGAAAGAGAAAAGCGGGGGCGGGGGGGGGCGGTGTCAAACAAATAATTTAAGAAAATATCCAAGAATTAATTGACATAAATTGCAGGATTTAAAGTCCCCACTGAGGACCCAACACATGTATGAAAGAGACCTATACACAGGCACATCACTGAGAAATGTCAGACAGTATGGGATGAAGACCTTACAAGATTCCAAAAAATAAGTCACATATAAAGGACGAAAAATCAGGGCCGGCCCCATGGCTCACTCGGAGAGTGGCGCTGGTAGCGCCGAGGCTGCGGGTTCGGATCCTATATAGGGATGGCCAGTGCACTCACTAGCTGAGCATGGTGCGGACCCCACCATGCTGAGGGTTGTGATCTCCTTACCGGTCAGGAAAAACAAAAAAATAAAAAATAAATAAAGGATGAAGAATCAGAATAGCATTAGATTCTCAAAAAGAACACTGGAAGCTACAGGGGGAAAAGGCTTTAAAATCTCAGGGAATATTATTTCCAATCTAGGATTCTACACCCAGCCAAACTTTCAATTAAACATGAGAGTTAAGGGGAAAAAAGACCTTTATAGACATAAAAGTACTCAAAACTTTACCTCTCTTAGAACTTTCTCAGGAACCTAATAGAAGATCTGATCCCCTAAAATCTGTGGATAACCAATAAAGAGGAAGCTACAGAATTCTAGAAACAGGACATCCAACACAAGAGAGTGATAAAGGAAATCCTGAGATAATGGCAGATTGAGATCCTAGAACAATTCACTGCTGCACGCCTAGAGAACAAACAGTCCAGACCATTATGGATCAGAAGGCTCCAGGAAAGATTTCAAGAAAAAGAAAGTGATAAAATACCTAAGGTACCTGAATATACCAGAAGGATATTTAAACAACTACAGAGGGATGGGGTATTAAACTAGGCAAAGAAACAAAAACTGATACTTATTAATTCTAGGGCGGCTAAATAATGTTGTACAGAAAAGGAAAAGTAAACATAATATAGTATATGGCTCAGTAATGGATACCATTAACACAATCATCATAATGCAAACACTGAATATTATTCTTTTTTTTTTTTTTTTGTCTTTTGTCTTTTTCCATGTCCGGCAACGGATCACAACCCTCAGTGTTGCCCCCATACCAGACCGGGGACCGGCAACGGGATCGTAACCCTCGGTGTTGCTCCCGCGCCTCGCTCAGCCAGTGAGCGGGAACTGGTCTATATGTGGGATCCGAACCCTCGGGCGGGAGCGCCGCCACGCTTCCCAAGCGGCGCACTTATCCAGTGCGCCACCGGGCTGGCCCTAACACTGAATATTATTCTAACCGAAATTACGAAGGGAAAATGGCAGGACAAGAAAGACATGTATGCAAAGGCAGCCTGGGGGTAGGTGGAATGAAAAGCATGTTTGGGTGAGAAAGCAAGCGGAAACCTCACCTGCATAATAGGAAGTTCACAGATAACAGCTATATCTGAAAAATCAAGAAGTAGCTCATAGAGCACGTTATTTAGATACGGAAGTAATCACCGAATAAATGAGATGAAAGAATTTAAAATGGGTGGCTCTGAGGAAAGGGAAATTTGAAGACTGTTGGAAGTGGGAAGAACTGCCCTTTTTTATTACAAGAATCATAACATTTTGATTCTTTAAATACATGCGTATATAACTTTTAGTTAAACACTGAAATACAGCAAATGTTTACACACTCATGTACACACACAATGTTCCAGACAGAACCCTTCTATTTGATCTGTCTCTTTTTTTTTTAAATCTTTAAGGCAAGAGAGAACATGGCACATGCATAAGGAACGAAAAATACAACAGAAACCCAGGATGTGAAAAGGAGAATGGCAATAAACGATACTGAAGATGCAGGAAAATCCTGGTTCTCAGGAATTAATAAATGCTTACATAATTGACGGCTTATATTGGGACAAGCAGGAAAATTTTAATATAAACTAGGTATGATGTTGGTATGGTATTATCATTTAAAAGTGATATATGTATTTTTTAAAGCGATATATAACTACAGTGAAATGTCACAATTTATATAATTTACTTTAAATATTCTTCAACAATTAGATAAAACAAATGTTGCAAAATATTAGTAAATGTTAAGTCTGGGTGATGAGTATATGAGTATCATATATTTCCAATTTTCAGTACATTTGAAAATTTTCTTAATAAAAAGTCAAGAAAAAAATTACTTTGTAAAGACTTATGCATGAAATAATGAGTTCAATTTCCATGATTATGTTTAAATGGGGATAGGTTGAAGAGGAGAAAACTAGAAATATTCTACGGTTATCTTACCATATCCTGCCATAGAAGCACCATTCTCGACATCCACCGTGTTCTTATTTTCCTCTGCTAGAGCTTTAACATATCTTTTGCTTAAATCTAGTATTTGTTCACGTAACTTGACACTGCTTTGATGTCTTGGTTGCTGAAAAGTATAGTGAAGTAACATCAATCCCCAAATGAGTCCAAATACAAGCAACAGTAAACTCAATTTCTGGGACATATTTTTTCTTGAGATTGTAAAAAACATTTCTGATGAGGCAAACAGATTTGATTAAAAAGTGGTAACTGGAGACAAGCCACCAAACAATCAAGACTTTGAGGAAAAAAGAAAAAAAAGTCTCCTTTAATATTTTATATTCTCCATCTTCAGCAAGGTTGCCTCCACTCTATTAACTCTGTAAAATTGAGAAGAAAAAAGGCAATTAGTCTTAACCTATATGAGTAACAGAATAGACAGTGATAAATAAGAGATTCTATAGTTTTGATTTGGAACTATATTACCTTCTTTGACAACTTTCTCCACCACTAAGTAAGCTTTCTTGTATTTAACAGTTTCATTTACACATCATTTCAAAATTTGAACTAGAAATAAACATCAATACATTGAAAATATCTGAAAAAATGCCACTATGGTTACAAAACTCTTTGAATGATTTCTTCTCATTTGTAACTTAAACCATTGATATATAATAAGATTTATAGAAGATCTCAGTCTATTCAAATACATGTCACCAACCTAAATGCCTAAAAGCTAGTCCTCAAAAAAAAAAAAAAGCCAAAATGAAAATTAGAAATAAAGAAAGGTAAAACAGATTGGAAAATCAAAATGTCTGTCTGACTAACAAGAATAAGTCGTGTGCCAATGTTTGAAAGTATCACTATAAGATATTACTAACAGGAATGTGGTAATCTTTGGAAGGATCCAACTTCAGATAACAAATAAGTTACACTATTTATCCTAGTACCCACTGGAAGGATCACCTGGGAATCTGTCCTGAAACAATTGCAACAGGGTTGTTTCTAAGGTTGACATGACAACACAGCCAGAAAAGTGACATCACTAGAGAATTAAGAACATAGACTCGTAGGTATTTTGGCAGGCGAAAGTTAAAATAACAGCCTAGAAAGCTCTAGGGGTATGTGTGGGTATGTGTGTCCAAGGCTAAAAAGGGAAAAGACTGGAAACCAGAGGCAAACAGTACTTCAGTTAAATAACAGCAACAACGATTACTATAATCACTACGTTCTAGATGCTGCTCTAACCACCTTTTATGAATTAACTCATTTTATCCTCACAATACTTCCCATACTAATAACATTCTCACTTAACAGGAAAGAAAACTGAGGCAAAGAGAAGCTAAATACCTTGTCCAACATCACATAACTGGATAATGCTAGAGACAAGATTCAAAGCTCAGGCTCTTAACCACTGTCTCTCTTCTACAGCAAAGGCAATAAAACAGCAGCCGAAGATGCAACAGTGAACAATTACTGAGATCTTATTATGTACCTGACTCTGAGGTAAACACTTCACAAGGGTTATTTCATTTAATATTTGCAATAAACTCACAAGGAAGATATTATTACTGTTATTATTATTCTCACTTTAAAGATGGTCAAACTAAGGCTCAGAGAGGTTGGTCTGCCCAAAGTGTTTTTGCACAGGCCAACTGACTTCAGTTGCCTAAACTTTGGCAAGAGCTGAAAGTCCAAAAGTTCAGAGTCTGTATCTCCATTCAGGGTCCGTCTTTTCCTTTAGAAAGTTCCTTATGCCCAGCCATGTTAGAACTTATAGGTTTTATAAAAATTTACAAAAGTAACAAATCCTAAGAGTGTAATGGCATTAGGCAGAGAACTGGAGATTCACTGGGAGGTGGGGGTGGGGTGGGGAATGGGATCGTCAAACACAGGGAGCCTCATCTACAAGAGGTAAAGTCCTTCCAAGTAGGTACAAGCTTAAGAATAACAGCACGTATGTTTCAATTTTTTAAAAGAAGAAAAAAGAATAACAACACCATACATAGAAAACAAAGTGGTGGTGCACAAGGCAGTGGCACAGCTGGTGAAGATATGCCCCCAAAGTAAAAAATCCCAGGGAACAAAGAGGGCTAGTTTAAACCTAGTGTTTCTCAGTATGAGGGACCCAAAGATCTAAATTGCAAACTTCAAATAAAGAGCCCTTATTGCTCTAAATTGATTGTACCATCAGATTCAGAAAAGAGAGCTTCATGAATGGAAAGTCTTCATAGCCTTGACTTCATACGCTTTGTCTGCTCAATACTGCCCTCAACAAAATAAAAGCAGCACAAACGTTCATCTCAGGCAAGTCAGGAGCTTTTATGGGGATTACTATAATAAACAATTTATATGCTTTGTAACTTATTGGTGTTTGTTATGTTTTCCCATAGTAATAAGAAGTAAAACATTCAATATGAAAAGGATCTGTCTTTGGGAATAGCAAAGAGATGAGAACTTGGAAGCACCTAATACCACTTTACACTAAGAATTCCAAAAGGAAAACCAAGAAATAAACTGGTTACAGGAGCTGCCAGGAAGAAAGGACACCCTGGAACCTTGTCCAAGTTAAAAAGACGGCCCAGGGCCGGCTCGTGGCTCACTCAGGAGAGTGCGGTGCTGATAACACCAAGGCCCCGGGTTCGGATCCCATATAGGGATGGCCGGTTAGCTCACTGGGTGAGCGTGGTGCTGACAACACCAAGCCAAGGGTTAAGATCCCCTTACCGGTTATCTTTAAAAAAAAAAAAAAAGATGGCCCAGAGCCAGCTTATGCCTGACAAAGGGCTGAACAGTTCAAAGTCCCATGAGCATTCCTTGCTGCAACCCAAGGCGGCCTGAAAACTGTTCTAAGGGTTCATTTCCACAAGCAATTCCAAGCAAGGCCAGTAGAGGTGACTAAGATTGCCAAAAGGATACAATTCTCCCTTTGGCCTCTTCTCGGGGAATGATTCACATTAAAATCACCTGCAGGGTTTTTTTTTTTTTTAAATCCCAGTGCCAGGTCACACCCTATACCAATTAAATTAGAATGCCTGGAATAAGAGCCAGGCATCAGTATTTAAAAAAAAAAATAACACTAGGTTATTCCAATGTGCAGCAAAGTTTGAGAACCACTATCCAAATCTCAAATTTCTTCATGAAGCAGCTGCATGTAGGGCCACTAAATTCAAAGTTACAAGTCAGTTCATCAGGTGTGACACAGGAATCCTGCTACTTAGACCTACCCATAATGACCTTGAAGCGGAAGGAGTAAGGGGGAGAGAAAACAGGTGACTTTTGCTGGAACCCAAGTCATTACTGCCAGGGTGGGCCAGACCTTATATTTACTAGGGAAGGGTGAGGTAGAATAAAGAGAAAGTGATTTCCACTGGTACCGCTTTAGCCCCTAGGATCAATATGAATACTCTGTTCTGTTCTCTGTGATTCCACATAGGAAAAAAAAGAGACAAGAAGTTTTTAATTACTTAGCAACTGGAGGTAATTTATTTATGTACTTTTAATTTAGTGATTAGGAAGGAAAATTATTCTTAGCCTCAATCTTTAGGAAAGAAAAACAAAGAAAAGACAGAATGCAATGTCTCTTCTTTCTGCATAACATTCAAAGCTACAAGTGACAGAGGAACTTACACTTTGAACCTCTCCAACTTCTCTTTATGTTTCAAATACTGGTCCAGCTCCTTGAAGGCCACCTACATCAGGACAGAGTCACTAACGAGGACCTTGCTAGGCCAACACTGTTACTGAGGGCTTATGGCTACATCTAGCGTGGTCTTTTAATAAAGGAATCTAATGAGTCCTTCCTCTACCAAAATAGTCTACAATCTAAAAACTTTTTAATCTTAACCTCTAGGCCTCCATATTGTCAACTAATCACTTACTAAAAATAAAACTTCAAATTCATCCCAAGTAATTGAAGAGTTTTTAAGGCAAAAATTAAAAGCATCCTCACCTTTATCATCATTATTATAGGTTGAGGATCCCTTATCCAAAATGCTTGGGACCACAAGTGTTTCAAATTTCGGATTTTCAGATTTGGGATGATCAACCTGTATTCTGACCTAAAATAATCTCCTGAATATTTTTAGGATTCCCAGGAGGAAGTTCTCCCCCAACTACAGAAATTACAAAAGGATTTAAAATCTATATGGCACAAAGGTAGAAGAATTTAAGGAGAGAAGACACACTTAAAATTAAGTATCTGTAAAGTACTAGACCTGCAGAAAGGCAACAGAGTCCAAGCACCATCACCTCCTGTTAGATTCCTACAGCTGTTTCTCAAGTGGTTTTCTAGATTCTTCTCCATCCTCCCTTCAATCCATTCTCCTTAGAGCAGTCAAAATATTCTTTCAAAAACAAAAGTCAGGATGTGAATAGACATTTTGCCAATGAAAAAATGCTCAACATCACTAATCATTAGGGAAATGTTAGGGAAATGTAAGTTAAAACAACCATGAAATGCCACTTCACAACCCTGAGGAATGTCCATTATCAAAAAAAATCCAGAAAAGTGTTGCCAAGGATGTGAAGAAATTGAAACTCTTCTGCATTGCTCTTGGCAATGTGAAGGGATACAGGTGCAGTTGAAAACAGTATCCATTCATGGAACTAGAAAACTTAAATAAGATTACCATATGACCCAGAATTCTACTTCTGAGTATATACACAAAAGAACAGAAAGCAAGGACTCAGAGACACTTGTACACCAATATTCACTGCAGCATTATTCAGAATAGCCAAAAGGCGGAAACAACCCAAGTGTCCATCAACAGATGGATGGATAAACAAAATGTGGTATATAAATACAATGGAATATTCTAGCCATAAAAAGGAATGATGTTGGGCCGGCCCAGTGGCGCACTGGAGAGTGCGCCGCTTGGGAGCGCGGCAGCGCTCCCGCCGAGGGTTCGGATCCCATGTGGAGACCGGTTCCCGCTCACTGGTTGAGCGCGGTGCGGGCGCAACACCGAGGGTTGCGATCCCATTACCGGTCAGTAAAAAAGACAAAAAAGGAAAAAAAAAAAAAAGGAATGATGTTCTGATACATGCTATGACATAGATGAACCTTGAAGACACTATGCAAAGTGAAATAAGTCAGACACAAAAGGACAAATATTGTGATTCTACTTATATGGAATATCTAGAATAGGCAAATTCATAGAGACAGAAAGTAGAATGGTGGCTGTCAGGGGCTGGGGGAAGGGGAAGATGGAGAGTTATGATTTAATGGGTATGGAGTTTCAGTTTGGGGTAATGAAACGGTCCTGAAGATGGATGGCAGTGATGGTTGCACAATGATATCAATGTACTTAATGTCACTGAACTATACACTTAAAAATGGTTAAAATGGTAAATTTAAACTTATATATTTTTTTGCCAC